CGGGGAGCAGTGCGCCCCGCCCCCTCCCCTCCGAGAGAATAAAAGCCGCCAGACCGCGGGCTCAGAGCGTGCAGCCTGAAACACCCAACCCGAGCAAGCGAGTGTCAGCCGCAGCGGACCCTCTGCCTCTCGCGCTGCCGTGCCCACTGGAGCCCGCCGCCGATCTCCCCACGACGTGCTGCCCTGCGCCCGCAGCCATGTGCCGGACCCTGTCCGCCTTCCCCACCACCTGCCTGGAGAGGTAAGAGGGGCTTGTCCCGCCGCCCGGAGGAAGTGGGGCGCCGGCTTGGGGACCAGGGCGGGCGGGATAATAGGATGCTGAGGATTGATGGGCGAGGCAGAGGTCACCTGGGTGCCGCTTGCTTAGCTGCTTCCCTTAGAACAGCGGTTCTCAACCTGTGGGTCGCGACCCTTTGGGGATCGAACGACCCTTTCACCGGGGTCGCCTAAGACCATCGGAAAACACATGTATAATTGCATATTGTTTTTGTGATGAATCGCTATGCTTTATGTTCAATTTGTAACAATGAAAATACATCCTGCATATCAGATATTTACATAACGATTCATAACAGTAGCAAAATTGCAGTTATGAAGTAGCAACGAAAATAATTTTATGGTTGGGGGTTACCACAACATGAGGAACTGTATTAAAGGGTCGCGGCATTAGGAAGGTTGAGAACCACTGCCTTAGAATCTCAGAGGAGCAACGGAGCCAAGAGGAGAGAGGAGGGAAAACAGGGGCCGCTGCTTACTGTCCTTCTCTAGCCGCTGACAAAGGGCAGTCCTTCTCAGGTGACCTGCTGGAGACCACGTTGGCGTCCCCAGGCCGGACTGACCATCTCCCTCAGTTTCTTAAGCACTTGGTTTTTATTGGCTAGCCCACACCTGGGGGCGTGGCCTCCTCTGGCCTTGGGAAGGCAGGGAGGTGGTTTTGGATCCGCAGGTGAGGGATGGGCCCACTTCCCAGGCGGCCACTCAGCTGCCCCCAATCCTTGCTGGAGCTGGAAAAGATAAGATGAGGAATTAGTTTCCACGCAGTTCCAGAAATACTCAGCACAAGCCCAGAGGGTGAGAGCAGTGTGACTTAACTGTCTGAGGTGCTGTAAGCTCAGACAGTGTAAGACCTACCGAGGCCCGGCTCAAACATTCCTTTCATTGTTTGGGACTTCTTGGTACTAAGGAGAGAAGCCAAGTTCCCAGGAACCCTTGAGGCTGGAATTCAGGGGGCGCCAGCCGGAGCTCTTAGACCCCATAAACCTCTCTGCCCTGGCTGAGCACATGGAGAATCCTTATACGTATGCTCCTGCTTTGTCTTCCAGAGCCAAAGAGTTCAAGACCCGGCTGGGGATCTTTCTTCACAAATCAGACCTCAGCTCCGATACTGGGAATGCTGGCAAGTCCGAGTGGAACAACAAACACAGCAAAGAGCGGTGAGTCCTGCTGACCAGCCGAGGGCCCCTAGAGGAGACCGAGTCCGATTTAGGAAAGGAGTCATGAGAGGGAGAATCCAAGGAGAAACCAGGACATGCTGGGAGGGACCTGGGTGACCCCCTCCCTGGGCTTCCTGCTGGTCCGCTATGGCAACTTGGCTCCTGGGTGACTGGGAGGATGGCTCCAGGGTTCTAAGTCTGCCTACAGATGAGTGTACCCAGGACCCGAATGTCCAGTTACCATACTCTCCCACCTGGAGATGTCATTGCACATGCAACCAGGGCTAGGACAGGGTCCACGGCCCGCTGGAAGTTTTCAGTCAATGGCTCTGCTTCCACGGGTGTGCGCCTTACCTAAAAGCCCTTTCGTATTGAACATCAACTGTGCCAGGTGCTGTGCCAGGCTCTGGGGCTCTGGGTGACATACCCTTTATTCACGAGGCCCTATTTCCTTGGGGAAAAGTACAAAACATCAACCGAGAGTCAGGGGAAAAGAAAGAATCTCGGACAGCAAGGAAGACCGCCTTAGAAGATATTTACTGAGGCCAAACGGGGCCTGGCTTTGGTTCCTGGTTACAGACTTGCCTTCTGGAAAATACTTCTGTTTCCCCTCCCCCCAACCAAGGGTTGGAGGAGTCGGTTCCAATCATCGCCGAGCAAGTCTTCGTGTGAATTAGGCAACTCCCATCAGAGTTCTGGCTAGGATTTGTGCTATGCATGAATTGGTTGGCCTTTTTCTTTAAATTAAAATCTTGGCCTTTTTTTTTTAAGCAGAAACTTCTCAGAAGATGTGCTGGGATGGAGAGAATCGTTTGACTTGCTGCTGAGCAGTAAAAGTGAGTAGGACCCTGTGGTGTCTGTCCGTGGATGGCACGTGTGCGCTCATGTGCTTGGGGGGCCAGCCTGAGAGATGCTGAAAGGGTGGGCAAGATAACAGTCGTAGTAATAATAATAATGATCCCCGAGTCTGCCAGCCTCTGTTCAGAATACAAAGGCAGGTCCTTGTTCGAGAAAATTGCATCCTAAAAATAGAGCTGTTAGCGGCAATGGCTGTCTTCGCTTCTTTTATTCCCTGCTGTTCCCTCAGTCTGACCGGTCTCTTCCTCTCTCCCTCCAACCCAGATGGCGTGGCTGCCTTCCATGCTTTCCTGAAGACGGAGTTCAGCCAGGAGAACCTGGAGTTCTGGCTGGCCTGTGAGGAGTTCAAGAAGATCCGGTCAGCTACCAAGCTGGCCTCCCGGGCGCACAGGATCTTTGAGGAGTTCATCTGCAGCGAAGCCCCAAAAGAGGTCAGAGCCCAGATATGTCCCAAGATCCTCCGGACCCTGCCTGCTCCTTCCCCACTGAGAATTGGCGGGGGGGGGGGGCTTTGTGCCACCCTTGGGTGCCATTACCCTCAGACTCACTGACGGGGTTGAAGGGGTTGGCAGGTGTTTTGGCATCTGTCCATACCCACTCTTGCAGACTGAGCCATTTTTAGAAGCCCAAAACACACAGCTGGGGAGCCAGGTCATTGTAGGGACCTTGTGTAACCTGCCTCGCTCCCCTGGCTGGCCTGCCTCAGATGGGCAGCTCTGTGATCAGTGAACTTGCAACCTTCTCTCAGGCCTGGCGCCTGCATTTGATAAAGACCATGGGGCCACCTAGTGGAGAGATGAGAGTAATGCTTTGCTTTTAGTGCCACGGTTTCTATTTTATTTTCTGAGCACTTTTGTCTAGTCCACGTTATTCTGTAAAGGTTTATTGAGCATCAGTTCCATGCCAGGTCCTGTTATAGTCATTGGAAAGAGAGCAGTGAACAAA